TTATATATATATAAAATTTATATATTAGAGTATAGGAAATTGGATGAAGGGTAGTAAGGGGGGGCAGATAGGGAAGGGGATCTAAATATGATCACAATATATTGTATGAAATTCTCAAAAATTCAGTTAAAAAAAAACCACAAGCTAGCAGGAAAAATTGCAGTTGTATCGGTATATATTAGTACATGGTATGTGCTGCACAAAAGCTTTGAATTCATGAAGAAAAGCCTTCTGGAGGTGGCTCTGAAGAATGGCATAGTACATAGTTCATGTAGTTGCGATGTGTGGGCTGGAGGATAAGGATGAAGAAAATGGTGTGCAGGCTATTCCTGAAAGATGGTTTTCCATTGCTTAGCAGACCCTGTCCAGGTTTTATAACCGGCCAAAGCTCTTCATGGCTTTCATAGTCTCACCAGTGCCTGGTTTTCCCGCAGCTTCGTTTTCATTCTAATGTCTGTGTATTACACTCTTGTTTTCTTAAGCCCACCATTGTTCTCCTTATGCCTCTGGAGGTCATGAGACTTCCTTTTCTGTTTGTTTTTTGAGACAGGGTCTCCCAGCTAGCCTGGAACTCTTTATGTAGACTAGGCTGGCCTGGAGCTCACAGAGATCTGCCTGCCTCTGCTTCCTGAGTGATGAATTAAAAGTGTGTGCCACCATGCCCATCCCATGTAAACTTCCTGAATGTACTAAAACTAAGGCTTTTATCTTCAGATCTCCAGTGGTTTAAACAGGAACCAATAATAAGTTATTGCTAAATAGTTAACTGAATCAATTCACCATTCCCATGAAGCACACTGTCCTATGACAACACAAAGAAGTGACATTGAGTACATCTGCTCAGTGACAGAAGCAGAACAAATGCCATATATTATGTAGCTCTACGTACATAAACTAGACAAGGAAAGGGTAAGGGGACAGAAAGGGGAGTAGAGGTTGCCTTTGCAGGAAGGAGAGTGGAGCCAGCTGAAAGGGCTTCTTTAATGAGTGAGGAAAGGTTTTGAAGGGAGGTGGTGATGATGGCTGTACAGTTCTGTGAATACGTTACACACCCCTGTGTTGTGTTCTGTAGGAGGGTGACTTTTACAGTATAGCTTATATCTTAATAAAGTGCTGGTAAGGGAGAGCAATCCATGATTTCAATGAAGCTTTACTCTAGTTGGGTTACAGAAATGCTCAAACAGCTCCAGTTTGCCATTAAAACTCTTTCAGCTTTTTTCCCCCTTTTGGTCAGGTTAATTCTTAACACTTCTAAAAGGTCACCAATGCATTCCTTGTCTAAAACTAAGAAATGAAGCATGATTTCTTTTTCTGGATTGCATCCTTTCCCTCTTCTAATATCAACCGACAGATTATTACATTTGGTAGTATGGTGGTTATGAAGCTATTTCAAGGCTTGCTTCACTTAGAACAGACTAGAAGTGTGCCTGTGGCTTTTAGATAGTGTTCTCAGCCCTAGCTGTGTAAGATTCCCTTTTGGAGGTGATGTGTTGAACCATTGCTTTGTATATGCAAGGTAAGTGCTCTGTCACTGATCTATACCCCAGCCATTGTAACAGGCTTAAGAGAGAGAAAAGGAGAATTTTAGGTGCAAGGAAGAACGTGGTAAAAATGTGAAGTAAAAGGCCATTTGGTGTGTGCTAGTAGTAGCAAGTAAATGTTTCCTTCTCCCCTCCCTGCCTCCCTCCCTCCCTCCCTCCCTCCTTCCCTCCCTCCCTCAAGATAAAACAGAGAATGGAAACAGATTGGGTGCCAACGTTTTGAAGAACTGTGTGACCTTAAGGCCTTAACCAGTGGAGAAATAATGATGAAATTTATGAGCTAGAGGACATGGCTGTGTTTATGAGGGCAGATTGGAGAATAGAGACTTAAACTATGAATTCTGACTTTTGGGAATGCTGGGAGCATGGGCTCTCTAAGTAGTTTAGGCTGGCTTGAACTTTGGATCTTCAAGCTTTTCACATGCTGGGGTAAGAAGTGTGGCTAGCTAAAACTGAAAATTCTGTATAAAAATCTAACCCATGATAAGGGCAGGATGAAAATTTCTGAACTAAGCCAGCTTGAAAAGGATGTGGAGGTTGCATCATTTTAGACTAAGAGACAAATTGTAAGTGGATAGAAAGGAAGAAATAGGAGATGGATCTATAGGTTCCTACTTGAAGTAGTTAGGTATGTAGTCTTGCTTCTGATCTGAGCTCTTGCTTTGCAGAGTTCCTCCTTTAATGAATCAAGAAATCCAGATATAGGAAGTTATATTTTAGGTATTAATTTTAAGGAGAAAAATCTTTTGTCAAAGAATTAAATATTAGGTATCTGAAAAGGTATTTTTCTGTGTGCTCATTAAGCGGGTGGTAGAGAGGCAGGCTTTTGCAGCCTGTGTGGGCACTGGGAGGACAAATGGTCTCCACCAAAGGCAGTGTTTATGGGTCATTGTAGAAAGGATAGGTAAGAACCTCAGATCCAGACAGGAAAGCATGCTTCATTCAGTTGAGAGAAGTATTAACTATAAGTCCAGGAAAGCAAGACAAATTCCAGGTGAACAGGCAGTGAGTGGAGTATAGATGGGGCCAGTTGGATAGCAGAGCCTTGGTGCTCACTGCATGTGTTCTGTATACTCAGACCACTTTGATCCATTGTGATGTCCTGTTTCTGCCTAAAGGCATTTAAAGATATGAAATTAGATTTAACAGAAACAGAATTTAATATTATTCCCATAGAAACACAGCTTTGAAGCTCTAGGCTAGCAATCAAATGATCATAGAGCAGAAGCCTAGTTTGCTGGCTGACTGGGACCACCTCCTGAAAACCAAAGACCAGGAAACAGACCAACAAACTCCAAGCCCCCCTGCCCCCAACACAGCATTGGGGAGAACATAATTTAAGTATTTGATAAGCTTAATCAGTGTCCCAAAGTATTTGTCAGTAGTTTAGATCTGAAGAGATCCATGAATGAGTATAAGCTATCCTGTAAGAGAATTAAATGGGAACAGTGAGTGGGAAGGGAAAAGTAATGTCTAAAATCAGATAGTTGAGTTGATGATAATTTGTTCATAGAATCTGTGAAAATCTTACATGTGCTAATTCCTGGAATTCTTGCTTTTATTTGTATAGTTAACACTAATTCTTTTTTTTTTTTTTTCTGTTTTCAATCACACCGAGTGCTGATGTCACAGTCTCTTCCTACACATCTTCCTGCACTTATATACACTGAAAACATGAGTGCACTTACTATCTGCAGCTAGTTTAGATTATCCAAAACTGAAGCTCACTAGAGGGGTTGCCCAGCAGTTATATTTAGAGAGTAATGTGTCTTAACCTTGAGACTTTAAGAATGTGGTACACGTCACTTTTCTGGAAAAAAAAAAAAAAAAGCAAGAAAAAAAAGCCTCATATTAGCACTGAAACTTTCATTTCGTAAGGCTACAGTAGAGCTTGTATCCCATAGGTAAGACTCTAAATTTAGAATACATCTGTAATTTTAACTAGGTTCTTACTGTAGGATTTAGTTACATTAATGAGGCAAAGTCATTTCACAAATACTAAATGAGTTCAGCTTTCTGCTCATTTGTTGGTTTATTTCTGTGAGCGCCTTTATAAAGTATCATTCTACAGTGGAGGGAGGTCATAAATTAACAATTTCAAAGTGATAGTAAATAAAGAAAAAACTGGATTATGATTGACTGTGAGATGAGTGCTTGAGGCAGGAGACAGTTGAGATGACAGGTTCTTAAACAATGAGACTATAAATCAGCTGTTTTTGAAATTACTTTTATCTTAAAAGATCAACTACTGTTTAAAGTATGATCTTATTCCTGTAGAAGTATGGTACTGTTTTGTGGGCAGATTCGTATCACATATAGCAATGCTGCCCTCTGCTGGTACTTGATATATTAGCATACCAGCCTTGCAAATCTAAGGTAAGGTGTGTGTGTGTGTGTGTGTGTGTATGTGTGTGTGTGTGTGTAAGATTCTTTTTTTAACTTAAAGGCCTATACCATTAGAATCCACATTAAAATCTCATTATATCATAAATGCTTGACATAGTCTCCGTATCCAATAATACTTATATTAGAAAGAATTTCTAATTCTTACTTAGCAAATGAAAAGAACTTAACTTTCAGAACTGAGAGCAATGTCAGAAAAATAAATGAGGCAAAGTGAGTGGCAAACACCAGTGTGGAGTTCTGGGAATTAACAGCTTGTTCATTAAAACTTACATTGCATTAAATTTCCCATTATAAAAGGCTTATATAACTTTTAACCCCTTTAGGTAAGAATATATTTCAGAACTTGAAATGAGAAATGGCAATGTATAGGAACATTTAACATTATTAACAGAACTTTATATTAATTGCTGCATTTTCATTAAAATGATCAGGTTTGGGGCTGGAGAGATAGCTCAGCAGTTAAGAACACTGTTCTTGCATAAGTCCTGGGTTCAAATCCCAGCACCTACATGGCAGCTAACAACTATCCGTAACTACAGTTCCAGGGGATCCGATAGTCTCTTCTGTCCTCTGCAGGCATTGCATGACACGGGTGCACTTACATACATGCATGCACATAAAATAAAAATAATATTTTTAAAATATCAGGTTCTTAAATTTAATATTTCAAATATTTGGTCTGTTTCTTTTAAATACAATTATTTTTGTTTTGCTTTCTACCCTATGGGTGCTTTCTAGTAGTTGAAAATTGACTTGAATAATACTTCATCCCATCTCCCCCCACCACGTGTGTGTGTGTGTGTGTGTGTGTGTGTTTCTTTCAAAAAGGTCTCATGTATCAAGATTTCTGTGTAGCTAAGGAAAACTTTGAATTTCTGGTCCTTCTGGCTTTACCTCCTGCCCAGTTTATACACTACCGAGGCTTGAAGTCGGGGCTTCATGCATGTTAGGCAAGTGCTCTGCCAACTGAGCCACATCCCTAACCCTTTTGTGTTTTTGTTTTTGAAAATTTATATATTTAAATATTTGAGATTTGTGAAAATTTATATATCTGAGATTTGGGAAAGTATTAGGTAGCTGCAATTAAAAGAAATGTGACTGAGTTTTCTAATTCCAGAAACAATGTATTATACTTAGCACTTTGTGGTGTGGCAATAAGTGATGACTATTTCATCATCATCAGTATCATCTATATACTTCATATACATTGATTTCAGTTTTTTTCTAGTAGTCACGTTAATGAGGTATAGTTCATAAAGATGAGAAATTACATATGTTTTCTAGTTGTAAAACCCAAGAATAGTCAACCATGCCTTTTATATCAAAAGAAAACTCACTGAGGAATTAGAGGTACCTTAAAGCTACTACATTACATGTAGGGCCTGAATGTTCCCTCAGGAATTAGAGGTGACTTAGAGCCTACTATATTACATGTAAGGCCTGGATGCTCTCTCTGGTAGATGCCTAAATTTTTGTTTTGTTTTGTTTTTGAGAGAGTGTCTCATTTTGTAGCCCAAGCTAGCCTAGAACTCTTATGTATCCCACACTGACTTTGAACCCATGATGATCCATTTGCCATAGCCTCTTAAGTGTTGGGATTACAGGCATGAGCTACCTACCATGCTTGACTGTATACTGATTTTGTTTTACATACAAGAAGAAAAAAGTTATGCCTTTATACCTTTATTTGAAGGCATGCCAAACTGTGGATGGAGAGAGAGGTGCATTTTTTGTTTTGGGTATGAATCTTCATCAGTGATTCTCATTTAACCTTCAGCTCATTACAGCCTTTGTATGCTCCTCAGAGTCATGTGATGCATCTTTCATGACTGGGAAATTTTATGTGATAGAAACTAGTTACTTTAGGGATCATTATCATGCACAGGTGAAAAATAGGCCTATATTTTTTAATATATATTTTGAATATATATTTTTGAATTACAAAGTGGAATCACCTTGACTTTGCTATTTTACATGTTAAGTATAAAATTATAGTGTAGTTTACAGTGAGCTTAACTCTTTGAAAAAAAAAAAAAAAGTGCCAGAAAGGTAGAGGCAGAAGAGTTGAGAGTCATCCTAAGCTACGTAGTGGGTTTAAGGCCAACCTGAGCCACTTGGGACCCTGTTCCCAAAAAGTTGAAATAAATGCCAGTCTTGATGTTGTCCTCAACATATTTTCTCTTTTCCATTTGGTAAATATGATGAGAAATGTATTTTTTCTAACTCTAGAATATAAACTGATCTTTACTAAAATGATGAAATCCATAAGATTAGAATCATCATGCTTTTGTAACATGGCTTCAGCAATCACAAATATCAAAGAAAAAGGGAGAAAATACATAGATGAATTTTATGAAAGCATGCCACTCTCATATTTCCGAACATTTTAAATAAACTGTAGCAGGTCAGCTGAGCTGCAGAACACTGTAGCTTCTCAGTTCTTGGAGCAAAGCCTTCTGAACTACCGGGTCTTTTTATGTTGTATAGAATGTCTTGCTGTACCTAAAAGGCATGTTGATAAGATATAATAGTAGTATCTCTGCCATGGTGTCACTAATACAGATGCTTCATTGACATGTTCACTATCTGTCTTGCACGAGCCTGTTGCTTTTTATGACCATTTATATTAGTATGATAGAATCAACCCCTGATTAGTATTTTTATAGTAAAGAGATATTTCCTTTATCTGCAGGTGCTGCTGTTTTTTCAAACGAAGGAAAAGGAAAACCATACAACGTCACAAATGACTGGACACAGACAGATCCTGGGGACTTACTTATATGTTCACCTGCTGTCTTGCGATTAAAATCATCTCTGTAGTGACCGCATATATTTTCGAAGACTCACTCTTAGAAACAAAAATGTCATACTTCATTTTGTGGTTGTCTTACATTCATTTTTTTGTCTAATTTAACTTTTATGGAAGCTTTAAAGTTTTGTCAAAACATGAGTGCTTTGCCCATCAGTGAGTGGAATGGAGCAGTGTGGTGGTATTGATAAACACATGGACCAGTGTGTGGGATTGATAAACACGGCTCCATAGGACATTTCTCAGAAGCTCTTCTGCTGTAGAAAACAGTACAGGTGTCCCAGGTGTCAACTAATTACATCTAATTTGATTTTTTTATGTCTTGTGTAATAATATAATCAAACAAGAATTTTCTTCGTGATGGACAGTGCAACAGAGAAAACAGTTGCCCAGATATTTTTTTTTTAATGTCCTTGAAAAGGTCCTATTTTGTGACCTCCACGTTGATTTCAGTATTACTGATGGTACATGTTATTCATGAGTCATACTGATGTTCTCTCTGTGAAATCATGGTACAGTCACAGTCCAGAGGTACCAAGGAAAAAGCTCTGCGTTTGGCAAACGGTGGTGGTAAAATTAATCACAAGAAGTGAGGAAATATGAGCTCTGCTACGTACACCACTACGTGAAGTACAGTGTCAAGAAGTGGCAAAAGCGCTTATTTTTTAAACATGCAAATATTTGTACAATGTGACTTTATGCTTCCAGATAATAATGCATGTTAGATAGCGAGAAATGAATACATTGAGAGGTGTTGTATGTTGGAGTTTTAGAAAACAATACACTAAGGAAAAGAAATAAATGTGAACCTTGTTGCGATGTGTAAGGCTGGAGCCCACTGAAGCCTATACTGAATGGTCACATTCTCATGGAAGCAGAGAACTGTGGATGTGCCATGCAATGGTGGCTGTTTGTTATTTTGCTCTTCAATTTAAAAAAAAAAAAAAACCTCCCAGCAATAAAAACTGGGTCATACTATTGCCCTCTGTGCACAATAGTCTCTTGTATTTAGCTTTGCTAGGTCTCTGTAACTTTCTACTCTTGAGCATGATTTTGATGATTGGAGAGTGTTTGGAAAGGATGGGCCAGGTGCTTTGCTCCATAGTCCTTGAAGTGCCTGCATATGAACAAAGTAACAGTTCTCAAGACATGAAGTCCATTCCACTTTTCAAGTCTGCTTTGTTTGAAGCCATAAAGGCACAGGTATACTTTTGTCACATTCTAGTAGCCAGAATTTTCAAGAAGGATTAAAACAAAAAGACTGGCTAGAAAGATAATTATGTTAATCATATCTCACATTCATCTTCTTTTTATGAAATTGTTACTCCTTCCATGCGGCCTCTTCTGTGTCTTAAGTGTGTGCCTCCAGATATGCTTATTTATTTATTTTTGTCTCAAGGTAACATTTAAAATATGTATTAAAGTAAATGAATCCACATTTTTTTTACTTCATTATTGAATTTACAGGTATTTAATTGTACTTTGTAATTTATTTTTCTTATTAGCCAAAAGTTCAATGTGTTGCTTTTGATGAATTGGGCACCCATATGAACATCACGGATCGGGACACTGTTTATCATTGTTTCTTTGAATTCTGTAAATGATCTGCTCCTGATTTTAAAGACCTACAGTCAGCCTAGGAAACATTTTCTGTCCAATTTGGTCAACAGTTTCCATTCTGTCTGTTTGTATACTGTCATGATGTCAAAACTGTAGGGGTAAAATACTGAATTTTTAGTTCTGTTTGCTTTGAGCAAGGTAGATGGATGTTTTGGCCATTATAATGTGAAACCACTTCTTTCTTTACAGTATTTGACCAAATTTGTGTGTCTATGATAATTGTAAATACAAGTGGTATCTGTATTTCTTATCATAAGTCTGTTTAGTTTTATTCTCAGTAGGATTTTTTTGGACTGTACAGTGTTTATATGATCTGAACTCCTTATACATAAGAAGGTGTGTATATTAATCCAATTATGGACTTAAATATTTTAAAAGTATAAATACCCTTATTTGCTGCAAAGACCAGTGTGTAGACATTTGCTTTTAGCAATATTTTTAAGTGCTCCATTTTAGTGCCAGAGCATACGTCTTTGGCACACAGACTGGTCAGTAATAGGTAATGCAGGTATGTTCAGGTTAAGCCAACAATGTTTTGCATTTTTATGCTTCTTTTCTGTCAACACTAATGAAATCAACATTGCCTGAATGTCTGAATACTGAAACACATCCCTGTTTAAAAGTATGTAACTGAAAACAAAATAAAAAATAAAGGTAGTTTTTTTAAACTTGCTCTTTCCCCTCTCTCTAATGAGTGAACGATTCACTAATTTAAAGTAGGAGTTTTAAAAAATTAACTTACGTTGTCTATTATGTATAAGAAGCAGAGCAAAAGGAATCTGCTTTTGTCAGGTTGCTTGTTTTCGTTCTCCTTTATTGGAGCAAAGTTGTAAGGAGCACATACAGGAAAGATCCAAGCTTGCTTGCTTTTCATTTGTGTGTGTGTGTGTGTATGTATGTATATATGTTTGTATTTTTCCTGAGGGGTGTGTGTGTGTGTGTGTGTTCGTACTTTTCCTGAGGTACTTAAATTGAACAATTAGTTAAAGCTGTCTTCCAATGACTTAAGGGAAATAAGCAATGATCTTATTCCTTTGAAAATGAAGTCATGCTATTTATAGAAATTAAATGTTAATTATTTTTAAGTGAGTAACTAAAGTCATTACAGATGGAGAGCATATGTTTGCAACATCAGTTCAGTTTATCACTATGGCACACCCTTTACATAGTTTTACCAAATAGCATTGATGGTTCTGTTTACTGAAGGGTGCTGTGGGCAAGATAAAGCAAGTAGAGCCAATCAGCCTGTGAATAGCATACAAGCATTAAGCACCAGAGACATTATGAAGCAGGAGTGTCTGCTGGAGAGAAGCCTTAGCATTTAAGAAGGGCCTATATTGTGCAAGCATCGGGATTTGAGTTCAAATCCCCAAAACCCAGGTAAAGGTCCTTGTAGTTAAGAACTCACCTGTAATCACAGCATTCTGGCACACAGTGGCAGGAAGATCACTGGGGCTTGCTGGGTGCCAGCCTAGCTCTAGGTTCAGTGAAAGACCTTACCTCAAGTGAATAAGGTAGAAATTGGTAGGGCTGTCGTCTTCCTCTGGCCTCTGAGCACATGACTTACACCTATACCAGATACACATATACCAGACTCCCCCCACTCCCCAGCTCCCATGGAAACAGAATGATCTGAGAATGACACAAAAGCTCTGACAGGCCTTATTTAGGAAAATAATCTGGTTTTAGATTGGGTGCCTGTTGACTGAATTGTATTTGCATTAGTAAGAACCTTTTCAATTCCAAGTGATAGGAATTTATTGTGGAGGTTGAAAGTTTTTGCAATGTGATGGTAATTAAGAACTTTGAAGCAGGAAGAATTTCTAGACAAGAGATAAGACTGGGGAGATAAGCTGGAGTCTTCCTGCATCCTGCCCTGGTAGACCTGGAAGGAAGTCTTTTTAACCCCTGCAGCCATGTTACTTTGCTTAATTATCGCATGGACCTTTTACTTAATTGCCACCTATGTGCTGTTTTGTCTTTTACTTGTACTTCCTCACATGACTATAAAAACCCCTAAAACTGGCACGGGGTGTGGGGATGGGGGGTTACTAGTTCCTTTACTGAAAGATCCATGTGTCAGTCTGCTAGCATAAAATTAAATCCTTCTCCTTACCTGACTTTGGCTGCTGGTCTCTGATTTTCCCGGAACAAATTTAACATAATTTAAGCAATAAGGTGTGTTCATTATCTTAATTGCAAAGTCCAGTGATAAAAAATTGGCTTCAGATAGTTAATTCTGATGTTAAAGACAAGAACCTGCCTTTATCCTGGCATGTCTGGGCTTCCTTTTCCTTCTTATTGTTTGTGCTTTCCAGTATGGTGGTGAGGCCAACAATTTGAGATTTTGACCCTGCCATTGTTAGAGTATCAATAAGCCCCACAAATTGAACTGGTCCAGACTATAAAATTGTCTAGTCTATCTGTTGGAGGACCTACTTTTCCAGTCTCACTGGTCAATTACCTGGTGATAGAACCACTCCCAGGAAGGCAGGTTCACCTTAAGTTATACCTAGTATGTTAATTAGGTAGTGAATATTTTCTGCCTGGAACTAGTTCAGAACCCACAGAACTTCCAGACCAGCCACAGCTATCCAGGAAAGTGTAATGTCTCCTTTTCTTCATGCCTTTCTTACTAAACATGCTTTTGTTAAGGCTTTGGGATGCCCCTAGCATCCTTCGTTAAGGCTTTGGGCTGCCCCTGAAGAGTCAGAATGCACTGACTCCATTTTGGCTAGCTGTTTCAGGCAAGCCTGGACAAGCCCAGGCATGTTGTAAGTTTTCAGTTGCTTAGCCCCCCACCCCCAAAGCTATAGGTTAAGCAAGCCCGGGCATGTAAAGCCTTATAAGGTTAGAAACAAAAACTTCTGGCCCTACAGATAACAGCATATTCCAGTGCCCTGAAGACAGCCCCGGCCAATAAGGATCTTCCCTGTACTCAGGACATAGGGCCAGCCAATCATTTTAAAGGATGCTTGGCACGCGCAGGCTTCTATGAAACGTCCCTATAAAAGCTTCTGCCTGCTAGTGTTCAGGGCCAGACGCCATCTTTGGCTTGTGGAGTCGGTACCTGGCTAGCCGCCAATTTGGTTGCCTTATACTTTAAATTTCTGAATAAAATTTTTATGCAGTTTTTTGTGTGTGTCTGTGGGAATTATTCCTGACTCTCGAACCCTAACAGCCCTAGCATCTTGTATTTCTTCACTTTTTCTGTAAAGCTTCCTTCTCCCAGCCATGTGGCTGTGGGTGAGCCACGTGTCTGACCTCTATGCAGGCTCTAATCCTGCATGGCTCCATGGCTTTCTTTCCTTCTTCCCACTATTCACCTTCTCGAGGCAGCTGCCAAGATTATCAGTTAGGTCTCCTGCCCTGAGGATTTTTCTTTAAGATTCTAATAAAATTGTAAAAGCTTCCGTTTGGGTCCATTCTTAAATTCTTTTATGAATGAGACTAAGAACCCTCTAGGGGACCGTCTTTCTCCCCGCTTCATCATCTCAGGAAACAAGTAAACACAAAGAGATGGTTCTCATCAGTTCCAACAAAATCCCAAGGCTGACATTTACTATCACTTTAGGCTCCATATCCATCCCTGAGACAGTTCCAGTGGACAAAGGGCTGTTCTGGTGGTTGGCCTGGGTCACAGATCCATGTTTAGAAAACACTAGAGAAGTGAGGCACAAGAGGACATTAGCATATTTTAACCAGAAGGAAAGGGAATTGCTACTGAACAGTGAAACGGATTTACCCCTCTGAGGTGTATCAGATGCTGAGAAAACACAATATAGTGTAAAAGTAAAAACTCAGTTATTTTAAATTCACATTCTTTTTCAGATTTTATAACTTTTTACATACTGTTTATATAATCAATGGGTACAGTTTGAAAAATGTTTTGTTTTCAGGTAAAAGGAGCTCCCCGCACGCCCATAGGTCATCATCTGGTATGTTCTTGTTGAGCTTCTCAGGATTTTGGTGATAAAATTGGTTTAGAAGAGTTAAAAACTCATTTTCCTGTACAGTAAGCATGATTATAGAGCTTTGTTGATGTTTAAGGATGGGTAACTAATTTGTCTCTGCCTAGCTCTTACACAGACCCACATTTAGCAAATTTACTTCTTCATAACCAAAGAAAGGAATATAAATGCATATCAGTTAGTATTGCCTTGGATATGAATCTTTTTTTCTTCTTTTGAGTAATGTTTTCAGTTTATGGCCTGGACTAGCCTTAAACTCATGATCCTCATGCCTCTGCCTCCCAGTTACTGGAATTATAGGAGTGTGCCACCACGCAAAGCATGAAATGATTTGGTTAGAACAATTATTCAGAGCGATGTTTATCAGACTGCAATTTTATTTAATTGGAAATCATTCTACTTTTCTAGACAAGGATTGGCAAACTTTGGGGTGGGAAAGGGGTGGGGGACATGCAGGCTTTGTGGGTCAACAAGCAAAACTGATACTACTATATATTTACCAATGAAAAATAGTGTCTACAATTATTGATGAAATCAAAATATTAACACTTGAATACAAGTTATTTTTTAAAATATCGGTCTACAAATGATAAGAATTTAGTTATTTTGAGGGGCTTTATTTTACTTAATTGGCATTTGAAATAAATTGCAAATATCTGTTAATGACGTTTCATTTTTCATATTTTAAACTGGGCATAAAATAGATGTTATCAAATACCATTGTCAATCTTTGGGTATATGATTTTTGAGAATATTCATCATTTGGAAAGAGTGTTGTAGAACTGTAATGTGTTTCATTCTTGATGTTTACCTTTCCATATATGCTGTAGATCAATCACTCCTTCATACACCTCTCAAGTATATTATTCTTGATGGTACTCTTTGGTTGATTTGGAATTATGGAACTTTCCTTTGTATACTGAAGTTCACAATGCAACTGGAACTGTTTGAGTGGAAAATGCACTGCCATCAAACAGCTGTGTAGTTGGAAGGTCAGGACATTCATTTTCTGATTGTGATAGAGCTTAGCAGATATAATAATAGTTAACTCTTTACTAGTTTGGTAACATGAAAACTTCTACACAATTCCTGCCAATGAATATCAACTGCAAACAGCCATCACTCTCACGGCTTTGTGAGTTTGTGCAGTAAGCTTTTTCCACGCCACCCATATTTCTGCTGTCAGTCGCAAAACATCACATTCACTTTGGATTGTACTGAATTGTTTTCTTAACTTCTTTGAAAATAATCCTTGTGCCATGCAGTGTATTCATAAAAGTTCAATCACTTCAATCTCATAGTAAGCAAACAACTGAGCAGAATTGGTAACACCTGTCAAGTCATCAGAAACCAAGGAAAATGACTCAAATCATCTGCCTTGTTTTTGAGTCACTTGTTGGTGACCGTTAGCGTTGTCTTATCTTCATGATGGTTCTTGCTGAAAACTGGTAGGCGCAAACCAGTCTATTTTCTCTGTCATGGGGAAATACGGTTAACTTTAACACATCACTAGTAAGAAGCTTTGTTTAACTTACAAATGAGCCACACAGAAAGTTCTTTCCCCTTTATTCTTGTGTGTGTGTGCATACGCATGCCTGCGTGCGCTCCCACGCCATGCACGTGCTTGCCCGCGTGCTTCCATGAGAATAAATTGAGTGATGAGGGACTGTGCTTTGGCTTTCAAATTGTCCTGATTATTG